AACACTTAGGTAGACATGCATTAGAATACTTATTTTTAGAACAATTCATACAGGCATAATTTGCATCACCTTCATGGGCTTTCTGCAGCTTAATTCCTTGAGTTAGTCGCAAGAAAATTAAAACAAAGAAATGAAAAAAGAAGGGCAGAGAGGTACTGTTTATAATATTGCTAGCAGAGCATGACTGTGAGAACAGAACATCATTTAAGAAGTACATGTTCTAAAATTAAAAGAAACCCCAAACCCAACACAACCAAACTCTGCCCCCAGCTGTATATTGTTGATCAACAACAATCATTTTTCACATTAAACATGAGTTAACTCCCTTTACACTTCCCTTGTCCATGGCAGCTGATGATTATGTGCTGCCATCTAGCATTTCCAGAAAAGCTTAACTTCCAAAGCTATTCTGTGACAAGACGCCTGAAAATTTAGAAAGCTTTTAAAATAGGAAACATATAAGAAAATAGTTGGGAAAAAAAAAAAAAAAAAAGATCCCTTCAGCCTGAATTATAAAATTGAATACCAGATGAGAATACAATTAGGCTCAGTATAAACCCTGCAAAATCACTGATCATATGCAGTCAATCCCTGGCAGTGTGCAAGGCCAGGCTGCGCAGAGCCTTGGCCGACGCAGTCTACTGTGAGTCCTCCCTGCCTATGGCAGGGGGGGTTGGAAGTAGATGATCTTTAGATCCCTTACAACCCAAACCAGTCTATAATTCTATGAATACATAATAATTGCAAAATCAAATGGTTTTACTCTACGTTTCCTTTGTAGAAAAGAACATGGTAAGTAGACAATTGTAAAAAATACGGCATTTTCCTCTTCTTTTCAAAAAATCTGGTCTTCACTATTTCACTTTGTTCTAACTTAGTGCAGTCTTTTATTTTCCCCACCTCCCACCCCACTCTTCCTTGGGTACAGAAATAAAAATGCAATAATGCCATACAGGAATTGGGATGTCTGAATTACAAAAACATTTGCATTTTTTAACTCTTTTCCAATCCTAATTTTTCAGTCATGCAGTCAAGCTGAAACTGTACCACATTATTTGCCAGCAGGAAGATGATGGCTTCTTATAATTAGTGGACTTTGCCAAACACTGGTACTGCCAAGGTCTTGCTTTTTTCTGTTACTACCTAGCTATACATGAAACTAGAGAAAAAGAAGATTTATACATTTTTGGCACAATAAATGTTGTTAAAAATGGAGATAATGTGAGTTTCTGAACCTGCTGCACCAATCCAAGCAACTTTACATGGAAAGATAAATTATGAATAGAATGTCTAAATTAATTAACCTGTGAATAGCAGAATAATTATTAATTATTTCTTATACTTTTCTATTTCACCTCATCACAACAACTGCAATTCCCTCTTATTTTTATCCAGCATGCTTACCACTGTACAGGAATTTCAGATCCCATTCATACAGCCACCTAAACAGTATGACATTTTCAGTCTTTGTATTAGATCACTACAGTTAGGAGCATGTTGCTTCATGGAGGCAATATTCTTTAATCAAATTATAATTGTTCACAATATTCAACTCTGAAGTTTCACTGGTTGCAAGTTAAAGCATTACCCCTTTAAGTGTCCTTTAATTTTGAAACATATATGCACTATATTTCATTATAATACTGGAATCAAACCCTAGATGTTCACATTGTACTCACAAAACTTCCCATTAAGAGGGGTTTTTTGTTTGTTTTTACCAGGACAGTAACACCAGAACAACTCCTGCCATTGAATTAAACTGAACTGATGCTACCTACTCAAACGGTAAGTAATTATCCTTTCCATTCAGAAATAAACTAAGGAAGTATATCTTACGTGTACAAAGCAGATGGTGTGCAACTTATTTCTAGGACAATACAGAGTATAGGAATGCTGTAGACACTCCAGCACAAGTAAGTTTTGGACACTGATAACTATTTGTTTTCTTAGTTACTGGTATCAAATACATAACAGGATGTAAAGAAAATGAAGGTAATTTGACTTGAAAGATTTATCAAGACAACGGTTTGTTACTGAGAAACACTGGTCTCAAGCTATTTGTTCTTCCTGTAAACAAAATATGAACTGGTAAAAAAATCTTGAAATCTATCATCCTAGGATTTAAGACTCCATCATACAACAGGCCATTATAGTTCATTATATATTAGTTAAGAGCAGAAGCATGCTTTTGCCAGAATTAAAACCTGAGTTAAAACCAGAACTACAGTATAATACAGATGAATTTACAAGGCCTTACACAGAACTACCACAAATCCAGCTAAGACAAACAAGTTATCAGCTATACAAGGGTGACAAAGTTCTTTCTGCAACAAGTACCACCATGCCTATTTCATATGGCCTAATGGGGTAAGAAATCTGTAGGGTGCCTAGTATAGGTTGACTGCAGAATGCTAAAAGTGCACCTTAATAGGGCCACTTTGTAATTACAATAAATCTTCCCTTTAGCAAACTGGAAGAACACTAAAGAAAACTGTTTAAAACATCAGACTTTCTAAAATCACTATTTATGCTCAAATTCCATTTCACCTTTATTAGAAGCTAAATATTTCTTAGCAGTATGTCCTGGGTTCAGCAATAGCACTCATCTTTCTCCTTCTCAGTAGCAGCCGCAGTGCTGCATTTTCAACTTTAGCCTGAGAACAATGCTAATAACACAGATGTTTTTAGTTATTGCTTAGTAATATTTACCCCAACCAAGGACATTTTCAGTCTCATGCTCTGCCAGTGAGGAGGGGCACAGTAAGCCAGGAGGAAGCAGAGACAGGACACCTGACCCAAACTAGCCCAAAGAGGTATTCCATACCACAGCATATCATGCCCAGTATATAAACTGGGGGTAGTTATCCAGAAGGCTCAGATCGCTGCTCGGGTTGGGCTGCTTATTGGTGGGTGGGTGTTGAGCAATTGTATTCTTTCCCCTTGTTATTTCCCTTACCATTATTGTTATTGGTGGTAGGAGTAGTAGTTTTGCATTATACCTTAGTTACTGGACTGTTCTTATCTCAACATGTGGGAGTTACATGCTTTCGATTCTCATACCCTAGGAGCAGGGTGGGGAAAAAAAGGGGGGAGTGATCAAGCAGCTGCATGGTACTGAGTTACCACGTGGGCTTAAACCATGACACAGTAAAATATGTTCTTTAAAGGCATCTCAGTAATAAATAAACAGCAGATATCCAGGTATTCATAAAGAAAATAAGTATTTCAGGTATTATGACTAATCACTGTAGTAATTAATACAGCTCTGGTGCTTATGAGAAGACAAAGGTGTGGAAATGGAAAAAAATTGTTTAACCTAGTCACAAGAGGCCTCCATCAGACTGTTAGCCAGCCTGACCTTCTGTCTCTCTTGATGAGGTGGCATCCATGACTTCAGTCTCTGTACTACCTTACACATCTCAGATGAACTTCTTATTAGAGAGTGCCTACTTTTTAACCAAGCTCTGATGAAAGCTCTCACCTCCTGAAAACCTAAAATCTTTTAGTTTCCTCTTAGGATAAGGTGGTGCTTGAACTATGAGAAGGAACAGCGTCCTCACTGTCTTTACCAATTTTTTCAGTCTTTTGTACAGAAACTCGTTGTATTCTATCTTTCTGAAAGACTGTTTGGTCACTCCTCAGTCAAATAATACTCCTGTCCTAATCCCTCGTTACCTGAGTATCTCTTTGGTGAAAGACCATTAATCACCACCTGAATGTGGTCAACAAAAAAAAATAAAAATCTCTGCTTCAACAACAAATTTTTTTTATGGAAAAAGACAAAAAAGGCTTTTTTGGTGATTCACTGGCACACTTCAGTATTAAATCACTCACGTTTGACTACACTTTTAATAGCAAGGACCAAAAGTTTATAATACACCTGTATTTTATGTAATATCAAGCTACATTTTTTTCTGACAAACAGGCTACCTTCTCTCTTAATCCTTGACTTGCAAACCAATCTCCATCAGAGTTATTATACGCCTAGAATATGAAACTTACCTTAAATATACGTAGAAACTGAGCATGCTTGTATAACCTGTCATTTTGATTCGGCTGATGACAAACAGCAACTTTAACCATACTGTAAATTATCTAGGAATCCTGGAACTGCACAATGCCATCTGCAGAATCTAATACAACACATACCCAACAGGACTGAAATCTACTCTTCAGGCACTGCAGCAACAGTTTAAAGAGGCTGGTTTGGTTGTGTCAGACTTACCATACACTATTATTTGCAAATGTGTAGTCAAAACCCATCACAAGTTAAATACACTTAACTAATTTAATTCACAATGTAGAGAAGAATAAAAAAGTCTGAAAGAAACATGAAACATCAGACTTCTAGCTGAACTGGGAAAAGTTAGCTCTAACCCTGTCATTTGTCATTAACAGTACCTCCAAAGCGACAGGGCAACACCGTATGCTTGCTAACCAGGAGGCAACCGAGACTTTGGTAGGTCTACTAGAATCACCTGCAAAACTTCAGTGACACGATACAATAACGATACTACACTCCATTTCAGGATGTTGAAGCGAAGCACACGTCGACCATTGCGTAGCGCCTCCCTAAAGATAGTTTATCTTCGTAAAGCAGGTCTTCACTCTCATCACACAGACCTGTCGCCGAGAGCCCGCACACTGCGCAGGCATTCCCAGGGGTAGGCGGAAGCCGGCTCAGGCCACATGGCGACAGCAGCGGCCGGGACCACACCGGGGCCTTCCTCCCCACTCCAGGCAGCCACGCGGGCCCTGGGGAGCGTCGTGTCGGGTGGGGTGAGGAGGGTCGTGTCGGGTGGGGTGGGGTGGGGTGGGGTCGGCTCGCCTCGGCTCGGCTCGGCTGGGCCCGGCCCGCTCGCCCACGCCGCGGCCTAGCTCTGCCTCTACCTCTCCCGCCCAGTGTCCCGGCCCCTTCATGCGCCGCGGCTTCCACCTGGCCCGCGGCTCCGCCGCCCGGCCGGCACACCAGAGGAGGCAGGGAAAGGTGTCTTACTCACCTCGTTGTTGAGGTTCAGTACGGTGGCCATAGCACCAACAGCTACCCACCCAGCTCCCACCGCCCCGCAACACTCCCCAGATGCTGTCACACCGGCTGCGCGAAGCGAAACTGCGCGCATGCGTCGGAGATACCCCTCCAAGCCGAAACTCTATGGTAGAACCGCCGCTCTAGGCCACGTCTCGGAGACCTAGGTCCTCCGAGCCCGCCTCCGCGCCCCGCGCCCCATGCCCCGCCCCAGTGTCGAGCTGAGGTGGCCGGCGTGAGCCCGTGTCGCAGCTTCAGTGAGGCAGTGCGTTTCGCCCGCGTCCCGGCCTTGTTGGGAACGGCGGCCAAGAGGGTTCGCTTCTGGCGTCCATCAGCAGCAGCCCGGCATCGCAGTTTTCTCTCCTTGCAGCTGCCGCCGCGGGACCAGCCTGGAAAAGAGCACAGGAGGACTCGGGGAATGGTGCCGCGTCTCCAGGCTTCTTCCCCAGTGCCTCCTTTTTCCCCGTGACACGAGACAGCTTCCATTTCCAAACCACTTCAGAATTTCCAGACTGATTTTCCCGTTCGTGCAGAAGGCAGGGCCCGCTTGGCACGGAAAAAAAAGGTTTAGCTCTGTAAAATTCGACATGCACAGCTCATTTTAAGTAGCTGTGGTGAATAGAGGTGGAGGTTGGGCCCGGTCGAAGTCTGGAAAGTTTGGCGAAGTTTCATCAGGGCGTTTTCTCGTTATTTCCAGTTTATTCTAGAAGGACCTGTTGAGCAACTGTGGCAGGGGGTCGGAGCTAGGTAATTTTTAAAGTGCCTTCCAACCCAAGCCCAATTGTATGACTCTGATTTAAACTCTTACAGATATTTTTCTATCTTGTAGAACTCATGACTGAATGTAAACAAGTCTTGGCATGTCTACAGAATGAATCGGTTATTGTTTCATCAATATCTATTACAGTGTTCACAAGAACTGAGATAATATTTAAAAATATTTGATGAAATCGTTTTAAATATAAAACCATTTTGTTTATACTAATAAAATCAATTTCTGGGAATTCTGCGGTTGTGCACCAACGATGAGCTGGTCCCTGGGTGGCACTGTTGTGCCTGGCATGATTCTGCTCTGAAGTCTTGAGTATAAACGAATACAGCTGTCCTCATCTGCCTCTGTGCTGCATTTTGTCTGCAGGATCCAGCATTTAGATCTTGTTATATATTAATGTTTGATTTCTAAGTGGTGCTTAGGCATCTCCTGTAAATTAACGGCAGCTAAATCACCTTTGGCTGTGACTATTACCCAGTCTTGCATGCAAGTGGGATCAGGCCAAACTAGCCCGTCAAAGTAAAACTTCCAAGTTCTGAAACATTTAAGATGTTTCAGAAAGCGGTATTGGTTGCTTGGTAGCAGTCTACGTTTCATTTGGATCAATAAAGAGCTAACAGAAACTACTTTGAACCCATCTCTTCATAATGTAGTACTGGTATTTCCAGCTGGAGCTGGATTTCAGTTGATGGGAATGCTTTGGCTCTAATGGCAGGTGAAGGATTTTTATTACAGCTGCTGATTTGGAAAAGACTCTGGCTTGAGCAGTTATGCCCAACCTACCTAGTCAGCAGACCACCACTGTAGAACCACTGGTGGTAAGCAGCTATAGCGTTATACGTGAGAAGTAGCATCTTTTGATTATGTCTGCATATGCAGCAGTATTGAATGTAATGCACTCAATACCATCAGTATATTTTAAAATAATTAAGAATATTATATCTAGATTGTATTTGTATATACTGAGTGTAAAATTGAAATCAGAAACTCAGTAAGGAAAGATCTTGCAAGGAAAATAAAGAGGAGCTTCCCTTTGTCTTAATGTTTCATACAAAACTAATTCCTAGTTATGCAAGTACTAAATTCTGTTGCACACTTTAGCAAACACAAAAGCAGGACCAGGGAGCCAGCTGTGGTTCTGACTCCAACCAGTGTCATCCTGGCCTCATATGAATTAGAGTTGTTCTCTATGCAGGCTGTTGGGTCATAACTTCAATTTTTCTTTCCATTTCCTCTGGACACTGAAATTACTTGCTTTGGAAGTTTCTCATAGACCCTGATGACATACCTGTGACCCTTCTTCATCGAACAATTTTGGGGTTTTGTTACTTAGTCACTGATTAAAATGTGTATTTTTTCTGGCTTCACCTTTTTAAACTTCAGTTGCTTCCAGAGTTTAGAATCAGTGTGCGCCATGGCTGGTTCATTGGCTCTTTGTCATACTGTTTTTTAGACTTAAATTCATTCTAAGTCAAGATTTTCTTGTCAGCTTGTCCCAGCCAGTATGCTCTGAGGCATTGCCCCATATAACACTTTCATATTTCGATGCTTTGTTCTGACCTGTCTTCCTTTCATGTTAGTAATTCACTCAGATATTTTGTCATGCTTTCTTAGTGTTTGAACATATTTTTCCGGACCATCTTCTCAACTTTGAGAATAGCTGTTTGTGTGTGCATGTGGCAGGACAGCATGTATTTATAGGACATAATATGTTGCAGAACAATACAGAGGAGTCAGAGTGGTAAGCTGTTCAAGGAAAATGGGGGTTATGACGGGTCCCATTTCCCTCCCTTGATCTTGGCAATCTCCAGGCTTATGTGATGTAGTAGAAGCTGTGCACACTCTCTTGCAGCTACATCTGGCTTTGATCCCAGAAGCCATGCATATAACTCATATTTTTGGAGTACTTACTCAAATGTGTGATTGTTGCAGACACATGCACTCATATGCACAGTACACATGTAATGAAATACTCATTAAGTGAGTTTTGTGTTGAAAATGCCAATAAGTATATCCTAGCAATTTCAATTAATTGTTCTTGTTTTGTCAACCAATTTTAAGAATTTTAGAAGTTTTGCAAAATGCAAGTGCTGATAACATTTACTAGACATTGAGGACCACAAAGCCAGAAGATGTTCTATGACTTGTAACAGCTTGTACTCTGACTTTTCTCAGAGGTGTTTCTTTTTGCTGATACAAAGGCATCTGTTCAGGGCTTGCTCCTTTCTTTTATTGGAAATTATTATTTTTTTTTTATTATAATAAAGCTTCAGGGATCTAGGTGACAGTAGGATCATGTTTTTTACTTAGCTCTTTACATATGTAAGAGAAAAATTCAGCATCACACAACAAGCAACTGAAATAGCCAGGTGAAGTACTGAAACTGCTTCTTATAAAAGGAAAATGTAGGATATAGGAATTACTAAGTGATGGGTTGCAGAAGAAAACAATGTGCATTATGCATTCAAACTTCATGTCCCAGGCTGGAGTTCACCACAAGATCATCTTTTAGGCTGCTTTTCATATATATTAAAATATTAATACAAAAATGTGGAGAGAGCGTTCTCATGGGAGAATGGATAATTGGTACATAAACTCTGAACAATCCTGAAAGATACAGCAAGGTCATGAGAGGCCTGAGGAAGATTAAGCAAGCAAGATAAGAAGCTGGAATTCACCGAGTTAATGAGAACTGTGGACTGTTGGCAAGCTTTTGAGGTCAAGTTCTTACACCTGTGCTTAACCAATTGTGTGTTAGTCACTAAGGGTCTTCAAGATATGTATCCAATCATAATATGCCAAGTCACTTAAGTGCCTGTAAGAAATGGTATATAAGGAGTTAAAGCCTTGTAATAAATTGGCAATTGCTGATCACATTGATCATTCCTGCGTTGTTCGTGACTCCCGCGTCGACACAAAAATATTTTTGAAATTTAAGTTCTTGCAGTGTGGCTGAACACTGGAGGGATGCTAAGCAGGAAGCAACATCAAAGTATCTGTATTCTGGGCTGCATCAAAAGGAGTGTGACCAGCAGGTCGAAGGAGGTGATCCTGCCCCTCTGCTCTCATGAGACCTCACTTGGAGTATTGTGTACAGTTCTGGTGTCCTCAACATAAAAAGGACATGGATCTGTTGGAGGAAGTCCAGAGGAGGGCCATGAGAATGATCAGGGGACTGGAGCACCTCCTCTATGAAGATAGGCTGAGAAACTTGGGGCTGTTCAGCCTGGAGAAGAGAAGGCTGCATGGAGACCTCAAAGCAGCCTTCCAGTATCTGAACGGGTGCTACAGGGATGCTGGGGAGGGACTCTCCATTAGGGACTGTGATGATAGGACAAGGGGTAATGGGTTAAAACTTAAACAGGGGAAGTTTAGATTGGATATAAGGAGGAAATTCTTTCCTGTGAGGGTGGTGAGGCACTGGAATAGGTTGCCCAGGGAGGTTGTGAATGCTCCATCCCTGGCAGTGTTGAAGGCCAGGCTGGACAAGGCCTTGGGTGCCATGGTTTAGTGTGAGGTGTCCCTGCCCATGGCAGGGGGGTTGGAACTAGATGATCTTAAGGTCCTTTCCAACCCTAACTATTCTATGATTCTAAAGTTAATTCTGCTTCTTTAATAACAGGGTGATGTGATCACTTTGGATTGAACCATGTCAAATTTCAATGAAGAGCATAATTAAGGCAGTAGCCATTAAGCATGTATGAAGACACAATGGGTTTTAGAAGTGAAAAAGTAACAAAAATAAGTCTGCAGTAACAAGAACCATTTATTCTGTTATAATAGTCAAAATAACTAATTTCATAAACAATTTTAGACTACCAAGGATTTTTAAAATAGGTATGTTCCATTTTTTTGTTATGTAAATGATTCACATTTTGATATGAAAATTCAATTATTAACCAGGTTTACTGTGTATTCATATATGGGTTGTTAATATGTTAAAACCAAGGTCAGTTGCATTTTCTGACATCTTTTTCTGAAGAGCATATTCACTGGATTTTTGGTGTGAATTAATATCATTAAATCACCCCTATTATAGCAACTACGTGGCATTCACAAAATACTTGCTTATGGAAATAATGACACTAGCATTCTGCAGCATGTTGGCTTCACTGGAATAAGGTCCAGCTATAACTGGGCTCAGACATACATACTGTGTGTTAAGAGTATGTACAAGAAACTTAAATGGGAATCATTTTACAAGTTAAGCATAATCTTTTTTTATATGGTGTGCTAAGACTTCGTGAAAGTTTAAAATCTTAAATACAGGAGAGTCTAGAAACACTCTACAAAAGAAATAGCATTTTCAGATACTAGCAGGT